GCAGGTGAACCACCGCCAAGGAGGCGCAGGCACCTTCCCGCGCTTCTGGAGAAGAGAAGACGGCCCGGAGCTGGCGCGATCAATCCCTGCCTCCTGCCTGCCTGCCTGCCTTCCTCCAGCTCTCGGTGTCCAGGAGCGCTGCCTGAGCGGTGCGCGCGTCTCTTGCGCGTCTCGGCTTTATCTGAGCTGGCTTGGGGGGGAAGAGGGGCTTTTATAGAGCCAGAGGCGAGCGCAGGGACAAAAGGGAGCCCTTCAATCTCCGAAAGAAAAAGAGAGAGAGAGAGAGAGAAGGGGGGGGGAGAGAGAGAGGTTTGCGAGGATGACGTGCGGGTCTTCAGGGCGGCGCGCTTTGACTGTCCCACTTAGCAGGGACCCCCTTTCACTGGCATTGTGGCGCCGCCCTGGGACACCTCCGCCGCGGCCGACCCTCAAGAGTCAAGGAGACCCCCAGCCTGCCCTTTTCTCTTCCTCCTCCTCCTCCTCCTCCTCCCCCTCCTCTCCGCACAGCTAATGATTGACAGCGCGCAGAGCCCCCGCTCGCCTTTGCCGCGGCGCCGGGATGGAAGAGGTGCTGTTTCCAGGATCTCGGCCGGGCGAAGGGAAGAGGAGGGACGGGGAACGGGGTGGGGACGGGGATGGCAGGAGGCATTTTGTCTCTCTTCCCTGCCATCCACAGCCCACAGCCCCACACACATGCTCCCCATTTGCTTGACGAAGACCCGCCTGGGTTTAAGGAAAGGAAGGCCCGGCCTCCCCGAGAGATTCGGCGCGAGTCCCAAATCCGCTGAACTCTCTCTCTCTCTCTCTCTCTCTCTCTCTCTCCCTCTCTCGGGACACCGGCTTGGCTCTCGAAACTTGGACTTCGATGCGGGTTTGGGTCATCGGCGGAAGCTGGAATTGATGGGGTGGGGGTGTTAATGGAAGACGGAGCTCTTCCGCACTTTTACGAGAGCGAAGTCCCACTACAGTCGATGGAGCCACTCTCAGAGCCAAAGAGCCTGCTGCACAGCCGCCAGCAGCGCCCAGGAGAAGCGGAGTTGGGAGGGGAGCCTCCCTTGCCTCGTCTTAAATTCACGTGGAAGGGATTCCCGTGCAGTTTAAGAGGAGCACTGCGGAGAAAGTGAGAGTCATAACATGATTCAAGAACCAATTGGCCTGGCCAATTTCTTTCCCGGATTTCAGATCCTTGACAAGCCACTCGATGCAAGGCTGTTGGGTCGCATCTGAGCGCCTGGGAACCTCCTCGTCCGAACTAGATTTCGGAAGAGGGAAAACGGCGATGGGTTCCAGTAGCATTTTCGCTCGAGTTTCTTTCCTCTCTGTCGATCAGGGTCCTTAATGTGGAGTAGAAAAGTCGTTTAAGAAATTGATAGGTGGATGGGGGAAAGGTCTGTCTCATTCCGTGTAGCCAGTTAATTTTAAAAGGCAATTTTGATTTTAAAATGAATCAAACTTAAGTGTGTCTAGAATGGGTTTCCTAAGCCCGCCTCATCTGAATTGTTTTGCATCCGATCGGACTTTTCATACGACACCATGAGAATGATTTGGGTTTATATTCTAAAAGGTAGGCAATTTTTCCCTTGAATAACTCACCTTTTCCCTAATTGAAACGCTCAAGTTAAGTCTGTTTCCTATTTTGTAATGACAACATTCACGAATCTTTTGCGAAGTCCTTTCCCCACAACCTGCACCTGAGCTTCGGTGTAGGAGGATGACGTACAGAGACACGCACACGTCGAGTTTTCCACAAAACTATGTACTGTAGTTCGTCTTCGCTTTATCCTTTGGAAACCACCACCTTCCTTTCACTGGTTTGGAATTGCTTCTATGTCTTTATGATTTTCTTAATGATTTATGGATGTAGAGGTCAATTTTGAACACTTATGGAAAAAGGAAAGAGGAGAACGTACTTCGAAATAAGACTGAGGTCTTTTTGAAACTCTCTTATTTTCGTTGACAGTTTGATCTTCTGAATAAATTGTGGTGTGTTGACATACATTATGTAAATAAGATATTTATTTTATTTACATTTTATTTTAAATTGTACATAGTCTCTCACTCCCCCAAAAGCACTCTAGGCTCACACACTCTTACCCGAAAGTAAATTCCACCGATTTCAGCGAAGCTTGTTTTTGAGAAGACATATCAAGTACAGTATTGGATTGTTCTGCTTAAGAGTGTTTTTATGTCAGCTTCTTGGCAGTAAATTCGGTTAATTTACTGCCAGTGGAGTAAAGAAATAGAGACGAGTTAAGGTCAGTTTATGAATCTAGATAATAAAGCACTGCAAACAAAGGTATCACCTTCCTTCTCTTGACTGAAAATGTAATCCTTTCGGTTGAAATATGCCAAATATTGTGCAACGTAAAAGGGAAAATTCCTTGTATGTGTGGGTGTAAGAAGAGAGAATGTTTGTGTGAGAGAGAATGAAAATATCACTAATCCGAAGGAGTGGAGGGACGGGGGAAGGGAAAGCCAATTAAAATCAGAAGCAACATTTTGCAATGCCAAGCTGACACAGAAACTCTTGAACCCGGTACTACGGTTCGGAACTTTCCCTTAACCAGGTAATCCAGAAGTACGAAAAAAGCCTAAATATGTATACTCAGAAGTAAGTCGCTTTGCCTGCAAATTGGCCCTATCTCCTTCCACACACCTCCAGCGCCAGGCACGCTTGCAAGAGGCAGACAACGGTAAAGAAGGATAGGGCTGAGTTAGGGGCATCCCAGGGCTGATAGTCTTCTTCCCAAGAAACTCATACGAGTCGTGTAGGATTTAATCCGGCAAGAGTGGGAGCAGCCAAGGAGCCAGATTCAATTTCGGAGAAGTCCTTGGGCCTCCATTCCAGTGGCGAGCAGGTCCACAGACCATGGGTGTCTCTGACAAGGTTAAAGGAAGAAAGGCCTGCCACCACCCATCCCAAATATATCTATTATTTATACATGTGTGCGTTAGTTATTTTAATAGAGGCAAATTGCCGGAATAATTCCTGGAGATATGTTTTTTTTACCAAAAATCAGCCATTTTTTTGAAAACCGTAAAACCCTTTATTGCCAATTACTAAGCCTTAGGAGAGTCATTTGGTTTTTTTTAAGAAAGTGGGGGGAAGCTGTTGCAAAAGCTGAGAACCCACCAAAGGAAGATGTTAGAAATAATGGGGTGTGGCCACATTGGGAGGTTCCCAACATAATTAGGGTCCACAGCCCGGTCTTGTATAGGGTAACGGTGAGATATGTTTTATGATGGCTTTCCTGCACAGCACTTACTCGGTGCAACGCGGAGTAGTACTTCTTCTGCCCGACGGGCCCAAACTCTTCCGGGGAATAGTTTGTTACCCTCCAGTCTGAGCCTTTCTGGCCCATGTACGTCGCTCTGATTGGAATCGTTGGGAACATCGACTCGCTAGTAACTCTGAATAGCTGCGGGAAGAACCGTGGAACGGGACTAGATGCAGGGGCTTGGGTAGATGGGGGCCGTGAGAATGGGGTTGCTAATTGGCCAGGGAGTTTAAGAGCTGGGGAGTATGGAGAGATTTTTCCAGGCAGGCCAGGCGTCGCACCCTTAGCAGATGATGGAGCAAGGAAAGTGATCGACAATTGTATTTGCCTCGAGGAGGTGACGAGCAGGAAAATGAAGATGTGCCCCGGATCCTTTGGATCCATGTGAATCATCTGTTGGGAAAAGTTCGCTCTCCCGGAGAAGTTCGCCTCATGAGATGTTTACTGTGCGGAAAGGCAAACAGGAGTTCAAACTTTTCCCTGGCCTTTATTGGCCGGCTTCCTTTGATGCTCGGCCACACGCAGGCAGTCCCTGATCGTGTGAACGCGGGCGCCTGAAACGAAGCAGGAAAGCAGTGGTGTACAGCTGACAGCAGGCGCTATCCAAAGCAAACGGACTTGGAAGGAAGCGGCATGTGTGCAGAGCAGTTTGCATTTAACAAGCAGACAGGCAGGGTATATTTGGTACTAGCGAAAAATATTAGCGGAAAGAAGGCACTTATTTGGTAAGGTGACTCTGGAAATAGGAAATAATATCGACCTTCCGATTTGCATTCCGTTGATTTCCAGGTTGCCGACTTCTAGCGAGGCAACGGCAGAATGACTGAATTTCCAGGATCTTTCCTCCAGCTGAATCTGTTTGCAGAGAAATGAGAACAAACCGTACAACTGGAAGAACAAGCGAAAGTAAAATAGCACAGGGGGAGGCAGGAAGAGAGGAACTCTATAGAGAAAAAATGTTGGTGGAAGGAA